TTTCTCCACGTTTCCAGCTTTCTCTTACAAAGGAATGCAACTCTTCCATGAAACATGAAAACCACAAATGGGCATTAAAACTTTTTTGTAGGTGGGAAAGAACACAATGGGCTTGAAACAAACAAAAAAAGTGCTATTAGCAGTCCTCATCCCTCTTGACAGATGTCTTGTCAAGGTGGCTGCAGTTTAAAGACTGTCTCGTCAGTCACCACCGTTTACTGATAAAATACAAGGAAGACAGGCCAAGGAACAAAGGGGTTCTGTGGTGCTGTCTCCACACTGTGCCCTGCATAGAGTGTGGGAAATTTCTCTGACTGTTCAATGATCCCTGTTTCCATGGGATTTACAGCACAAAACTCTGAACCACAAAAATCTTCAATCCTACTAGTTTATGGGTTTTAAACACACACCTAATGCACTGTCCTGAAAACTGATATTTACATGAGTTACACTAAAACACTGTTGTGGGTTAACCCCAGTAGCCAGCTAAGCACCACACAGCCACTTGGTTACTTCCCCACTGCCCACCCTAGTGGTATAGGGAAAGATGAAAAGAAAGAATAAACCAAGAAAACTCATGGGTCAAGGTAAAACCAGTTTAACAAATAAAAAAGAAGCGGAATCAAAAATAAAAACAAAACAAAGCAAGTGATGCAAAGACAATCATTAACCACCTGCCATGGTAAACCAGTGTCCCGTCAGTTCCTGAGCAAAAGATAGATAACCTACCTAAACCTCCCTACCCCCCGTTTTATTGCTGAATATGACACTGCACAGCATGGAAAATCTCTTTCATAACTTTGGGTCATCTGTCTGGTTGTGTCCCCTCCCAACTATTCCTGCACCCTGATCTATTTACTGGGAGGCAGAGTGAGCAGAGAAGGCCTTGATGCTGTGCAAATACCGTTCAGCTGTACCAAAAATGTTGGTGTGTTACCAGCACAAGAGCTGTTATGGATAAAATTATCTCCATCCCAGTCAGACCCAGTACAAATGCTTTAAATCAGTAATTGCTTACTGGCAGATGATCCTAACTCTGGCCTACCTGGAAAACACATGAGTGCTTTCAGCCTGCCCTTTGGCAGTCCCATGCTTTCCGCCGTTATCATATGTTACATTTTCAAAACAAATGCTTCTCGTCTCTCCATGTAGTGACTGTAAGACAAATTGCTTTTGCAATAAACAGATGTAAATTGCTTGAAATTAGTTTTTCTGATATGGCCTGGTCCTGCTTTCCTGGACAGGATCTTCTGTTTCTAGTAGAAGCTCTCCACAGGGATTTACCTGTAGTGGAGCCATTTCTAACTTTCACATCTTAATAAAACAGGAAAATTAGATTGATTTCCTGTCTTCAGTTCACTTATAATAGCTATGACAAACCATTTTAACTTGTCCAGTTAAGTTCTACCCAAAAACTTCTCTCTAATGAATTTGCGCTTGCTGGAAATTATTTCACTTAAACTGAAATAGTAACTTCAGTAAGAGTGGTAGTGGGACAAACTCTTTTGAAGTCACTGGAGTTGCAGATGGTCACATCAGGTGCAGTGCAACCCCTAATATTTACTGGAACTTGCAAAGCTTCAGTAGCTCTGGGCAACAGGATGGCTCAGGGTCTTGGGTTGCTATCTGTCTATTTATGAAGTGACAGTTGCCATGGTATCTGAGCACCAGTGGAAAGGCAGCTTGTTGCTGCAGGCCTACAAACAGCACCCAGACTAACTGAGCTATTAAAAGTACTATCATGCCAGCCTTGTTTAACAGCATGTATACACTGGCCCCAAAATAAAATTAGTTCATTTGAACTGGGATCCTCTGGAAGCTGTGAGTTTGAACTTCCCAAAATTGCTGAAAAACAAGTCTGGTTCGTTGTTTACTGGCAAGTCCTGTTGCAAAATAAAAAAAAAATAAAATAAATAAAGTAAAAGAAAAGGGATCTTATCTGGACTGCCAGCCGTGTTGTTTGAATGAAAATGACCATGGCTGCTTTCCTTTGGGATGATTCATTGACAGCTGCATACATTCAGGTGCATGATATAAACACAGTCACAGCATAGGATCCCTTTGGAGTTGTAGGCACAGCATCACTTATCCAAGAAATTCTGAACAGACACAGGCACAACCTGGAAAGCAGAGTACTCAGAACTGCCAAGCCAGCTGAAGCCTATGCATGGACAGGCACCTAGAGTCCCTTATGATGGAAAACTTAGGTGCCTATATGCTTGGATGTGTCTATGTACAAACTGGATATACGTGAGTCCACCACAGCAGAGGGCTACACACAGGGGGCTGACTCTTCTCAGAAATATCCAGTGAAGAGAGAAGAGTCAGTGGGCACAAACCAAAATAAAAGACATTCCATTTAACCATGAGAACAAAAAAAAAAAAAAAAATAAAAAAATTACTGTGAAGGTGATCAAACACTGGAACAGGTTGTCCAGAGATGATGTGTAGTCTCCATCCTTGGAGATATTAAAAACCAACCAGTCATAGCCCTGAATAACCTGCTGTACCTAACTCTGCTAGAAGTGCCCACCAGCCTCAGTGACTGTGATTCTGTTACCCTCATGGATTGTAAGCTTTCATGTAGTTCCTAGGTGCCTAAACCCTGTCCTGACTGCCAACCTGCAAAACAAGGGCAATACTTACTTATTTTATAAAAATTAAAGGGGAAGGGCACAAATGTTAATTAATATCATATTTATGACAATCTCTGAATTAAATTTTACTAGGGAACAAAATTAATATTATGGCTGAACATTTGCAAAAGGTAATGAAATACCTGCTCAGTATACAAAACAAGGTGTAGCATGCAGTTATACTATGTTACGTGATCAGAGAGATACTGTAAGTTGGCTACAATTTCTATAAGGAAAGTTCACAATGGAAAAAGTTGAACAGTACATGAAGCAAATTCTCACTTTTTGACATTACAATAAAAAGAACTTCTTGCAAATCTGAGGACTGTGGAAAAAATCATCCCAGCAGTGGTGAAGAACTTGTAAGGGAAGGCAAAATGGCTGGGTTTCAGCTAGATTAAGCTAACACATTTCAATTAACCCAACTAAAATAGTATATTTTCCCCATTGTAAGTGCAAGTTGCTAGCACATTTTATTTCATTTTCACTGGGTACAGGCTAATCTTTAGAGAAAGCATAACAAGTCTGGCACCTGTATCACTTCTTTCAAAAAACTTAGACATGTTGTTTAACATCTCTGAGATGAGCACCTACAAGGTTTGTTTTTCTCTTTTGAGGAAGCACTTCAGTATGATGCATGCCCAATTTTCAGCACTTCCAGACTTGCCAGTATTTTACCTTAGAGCTTGTTTATACATGCACCTTCCTCCAAGCACTACCCAATCTGTCATAAACGATGGAAATAAGATGAAGGTCTGCCTGTTTTCACCTACACAGTTTGCCAGCTCAATTTAAATGACTCTGCAGGAGGGAAACCTTAGACAATCAGCAAAAATGGGAACATGTGAATTCTGGTCAGCTTTGAATTTGCTTCCAGAGTTTCTCAAGAAACTGTGCTTCTAACTGCAAATATCTCCCTGGTGGCTGAAGAAGGTGAAATGAGCTATTTGAAAGATTTGTCAGGGGTTATGAATGGATAACTTCTGGAAACATAATAAATAACGTAATTGGAGCTGTAAAATCCATGCAGCTTCATGTATGTCTGAGGATTATTAACACTGGTAAGTAGTGGCATGGGTACCCCATTTTTAGAAGTAGTTTTTGCCTCATTATGTTGCTTCTCTGGGAATCAGAAATTTACTTTAACTACATTATTTTGAATTGCTGGGGGAAGAATCTGTCAATCACAAGGTGCCCTGCTGCTGATCTCAGCCAAAAACCTGTTAATAACTCCAGCAGATGTTTCTGCTTTTTAGGCAACAGGACTCTCTTTCTCCCACCATTCTCTTTTTCCCAAAGTGGACACCAGTGTGACTGAATTCCAGCATCCTCCACAGCTACTACTAAAGCAAAATCCAGTGTTAGCCAGTCAGTAGTGATAAAACTTCAGTGTACAAAGTCAGTGTGAGAGCAAAGTTTGGTCTTAGTACATTTATTCTGGTGAACACTGCTAGTGTAATCAAGAAAATCTGCCTTGTGAGAAAGATTGTAAGATTAGACCCTGTATTCCCATGACTAATGCACTTTTAAAAATGTTGACCTTGATTATCAGTATTAAGAAGCTGGCCTTACTTATTTATTTAGGCATTGTCTATTGTTGAGCACATGGTCACTCATTCAACATCTTTCTCACAAAAGAGAATGGGCCATGTTAGATCTCAGCACAATATTGCTTCCTTTCTTTTATTTCCAGATGTTTTTTCATGCTCTGGCTTTCAGTGTTTTGCAGTATTGGAAATATATTTTATAAACACAACTATATCTCTGTGCTGTACTTAAGCAAGCCTTGGCAATGAAGTGTTCAGATACTGTCAGCATCTTTGCACTGTTGTGAACCTGAAATCTTACACTAAATCTTTGTTCTATGTTTTTTCTAGTGAGAAGGAAAAATTATGAAAGAAAGATCTCTTTGTTTCCTTCTTCCTGGAGGATGGAGCTTAATAGGCATTCTTAAAGAAAGATGTAGTGGCTAAGGAAATACAGGTGTCAACGTATTAATGGAAAAAATATATTGCGTACTTCATCTCCAAAAACAAGGAAGCAGTGTCTGTATGTTTCAAGAAGGGCAAAATGACTGACTGATTCCTGACTCAGTATGCATTCTGCTGTTATTTAATTAAAACATAACAGTGGTCTGGGCTCAGTTGCACATCGTCATTCACCAATGGTACTACATGGACACAGAAGTGCTCATTTTATAATACCCAGTCAGAGGTAAGAATTGTTAGGTTTTTTGTTGATTCTCTTTCATACTAATTTTCAAACCTATGATTGCCAAACTAAGTAAGGTCCATGAATCTGTCAGAAAAGATACTAACCCAGAGAAGAGTACTTCTGGTGGTTGAAACTGTGGTAGTAGTAGTCTCATAAATGATTGTGTTGTCTTTTTCAGAGATTTCTGCTGAGCAACTTGTATTCAGATGGTGCTCAATCCAGCAATACTCAAAGTCTCATGCAAATCAGTGTTCTTTGCTGTAGTCACATCAGGTTGTGTTTCCAGTCATAAAGCTTAAAAAGGAAAAAAAAAATGTGCACAGCTATAAAAACTTCCTTTTCCTATGCCATGCCAGGTGTATCAGAAAAACCTAAATAACACAGTGGATCAAAACCTATTGGTTTAGATATATTAATTTCTCCCCTTCATTTGCAATGCTTCGTAAAATATAGGAAAAATGCTGAGAAATGGCTGAGATTACGGAAAAATAGCATAGATCATATTCTGACTGTATTTGGAGGTGCAGTTATATCTGGAAGCTGAAAAGTATTTTTTTCTAAAAACATCTTAAAGTTTTGAAAAACACCCAGCACAACATCTTATAATTTCTTTTACAAGACAGGAAATCCAACTTCTGAAGAAAATGGAACCTGTTACAGGCAAACCACTTACACCAGCTGTGAAGCATTACAGTTATTTACATCAAAGAACAACTTCCAAGTCATTGTGGAAAAACAGCAGTAGCCTTATTTTATCAGTACACTACCTTACACCACTTCAATGATAGATAGATTATGCTGGACCACCCAAACTCTAAAGCAGTCTGAAGTGATAAATACTGCCTGCAACCAAACCTGTCATAAGGTGAAGAAACTAGAAATACAAAAGGGTTCATAGTTCAGCTATGAATATTTAATATATAAATCTAGTTCCTGGGGGGTTCAAAAAGCTATGTGAACACCTGCTATATATTGAAAATGTCTTTGACTTTCTGCTTGCATTTAAAGTATGTCTTGCTGTTTTTCTTATTTCAAACCATGGTTGTCCTGGGTTTGAGTGAGTGGTGGGTTTTTTGGTAGCAGAGGATGGTGCTATAGGGGTATACTCCTGTTAGAAGCTTCTCAAAGCTCCCCCAGCTCCAAGTCAGCTCCACCTCTGCTCGAAAACTGAGCCAATCAGCTGCGCCTCTGCGATAACGTATTTAAGAAGGGACGTGGTGATGGGCAGTGGGACTTGTGAGGAGGAGTTGCTGCAGCTGCGTGAACACCAAGGTCAGTGGAGGAATGGAGGAAGAAAGGAGAGGGGAGGTGTGCTGGAGCAGAGACCCCCCTGTATCCTGTGGGGAGACGGCAGGGCGGCCCCCCCCGCCACCCATGAAGATCTACAGTGGAGCAGACACTGATTTATGGCCTGTGTTTCATTTCATATGGCTGATCAAGGTGCTGTGCCCAAAAAAGGCCAGGGTCTTGTGGAAAAAGGTAGACCCCGCTGTTGTAGTTCAGCGCTGGGAGGATTGCAGCATGTGGGGGTGTCCCACGCCTGAGCAGCTCGGGAAGGGCTGCAGCCGTGGGAGGGAATCCAGTCGGAGAAAGTTGGTGTCCCACGCCAGTGCAGTGTAAGGAAATGCTGCAGCCCATGGGAGGGACTCATGTTGGAGAAAGTTTTTGGAGTACTGTCTCCTGTGAGAGGGGTACCATGATGGAGCAGGGACAAGAAGTTCCAGAAGGTCCCGCCACTGAAGATGGAAGAAGTGGCAGCGCTGACTGCACCCCCCATTCCCTGCCCCTGTGTCGCTGAGGGGAGGAGGTAGAGATATTGGAAGAAGAGCTGAGCCCGGGAAGAAGGGAGGGGTGGGGGGAAGGTGTTCTCAAGATGTGGCAATGCTTCTCACTGTCCTACTCTGTTATGTGTTGTTAGTGTCTGTAATAAATATATGTTCTTTTTTCACTTACCCTAACAAGTCTGCCTTTTGCTCATGACCATAATGGGTGATCTGCCCCTCCCGATCCTATCTCTAACCCCAAGCCTGGCTCTCTGTCCCTTCTCAATGCCAGAAGAGAAGGGGAAGAGAGTGGCTGCATAGTGGTTGGCTGCAGATCAGGCTCAAACCACGACAATTGTGAAGATTAAAACAGACAGATTTCAGCACTTCTTTTAAACTCCAATTATTTCCAGTATTTGCAGCACATTACGTAAGAATGTCTGAACTACAGGAAGTTACAAATATGGCTAAGTGACTGGATTGAAGAACTATCAATGAATCAAATAATTATAACATGCTGGAACAAATAAATTACATTTAGAATTTATTATTTCATGCTAATATTGTTATTAACATCATATCAAGACTGTCATCAGTTCCTACATCATGATATATAAGTCCAGTTCCTAAGATTCTAGAGCATCTAGACAACTTAATATTGTACTTTGTTTCAAGCTATATAGAGACTGATTTATAGAAGAATGAGAAACAGGCAGCTCTTCCATAACTTTACCAAGAAATCATAGGAATCTTCTGAAGCAATTTCCCATGCATTGTCTGACTGTGGTTTGTAAGCTAGCACAAAGAATGTTCTTGCTTGGGGAGCAGATCATGTCTTTCCTGTCACCTCTATGAGCTATAAATATGGATCTGAAGTATCAATTTCTTTACTCTTATTCTTAGTGAAATTGCAAGAGACTACTACACAAGCAGATGAATGAAAGGAGAATTCTACGCACAACTAGATTACCCTTTTGGAGAACAGCAGGCATTGCCAGCAGAAAAATATTTGCTTGGATGGTGCTAAATTTTACTTTTACTAACAGGTCAAATACAATTTTAGCCTCAGAGAAAAATGGTTTTGATGTATTTCTGGTATATATACACTTCACATTCATCAGATATTATTCTTTACTTCAGAATTCAGAGCAGAAACATTTTTGTTAGGGATTTCAGGGTCTCTTCCCTTTACTACATATGATGCAAGGAACTTATCTCCATGTGTTCTGTATCGTGCAGTAAAACAATCTGCCATAGATTACAGCAACCCCACCACTATGATGTCAGTGGTACCATGAACCCTGCTCTTCTTCGTGTCAAAGGTGTCATCTCATTTCCTAACAGCTCCTTATACGTGCTCATTATTCCTGGCTGCAATCTGCATATCAGGGGAATTTTCTCAAATGAGCAGCGTATAAAAAGGATGTTAGTAAGAGACTGAAGAGTATTTCTCAAAGCTCTTGTCTGAAACCAGACCGTGTGAGAATTATGTCCTTATGTCATTAATACACATCTTCTTGAGCATTCATTTGTATTAAAAAATGCTGGAAAGTCATAGACTCATCTTTGAAAGATGATTTATCTGAAATCAGTTGAAGAGGAATCCAGTTTGGGCAAACTTGGAGCAGAATGGGTTTCACTTTCAAGCTAACAGCTAACAGCTGTGAGAACTGCAGGGTAGGAGAAGATGAACTGCTGAGAGGGAAAGAAGGTAGCGTGCTGCATATGATCATCCCATGACACATTCTCCCAGCAAAATGGAGAATGCTCTCTTGGCAATAAATAGACTTTTTGTTTAAGACATGATAAAGAAAAGCCCATCAAGCTTGAAGGGAAGAAGCCTTTATAATGACATTCTGGGTTTCACACATATTACCTAGTGAGCATACTACAAAGAGCAGAACACTCTTCCAAGGAAGATCATTGTGGGGAGATCCTTCAACAGTGGACCAGTAGAGAAGCTGTCTTGGTAAGACGTTGACTGGCTGCATGTATAGCACACTGGAGTTTATACTAGCAGCTTAGTACAAACTTCTGTCCCTAATGGTTGCACTTGGATAAGTCCTTAGACAAATTATACCAGGAAGATGTGGAGCGTAACCGAACTCCACCTGCTGTAAAGAGAAACAAGATTTATTTCTACTGAGGAAACCTAAGTACACTTAGGTGTACTAAGCACAAAAGCAAAGCTCAATTATATTTCTCTTTCTAAAATAATATAATTGAGATATTTTGTAAACTTACTACAGCAAGACATCTCACATTCTAAACTTTCTTCAACTTCTGAATGGAGGTGCAAAACTCTACAGATATTTTCTAAACTTATATATAAATATTTGCTGAATAACATGATTTGGCTTCCATTACAGAGAATCATACAACCCCGTTGATGCCCTTAATGAATTTTCTTAGTAGGTATCTGTCCCTACTGAAGCTTCTTCCAACTTAGGAGGAGAGAATGACCTCATCCAGCAGTATTAAAAACTGGGGTCTGTATGTTATATGGAGAGTTATATATTCAAATTAGTTTTTAAAAAGCTCGGTCAGATGAGTTAATTCTCTAATCATATACCTGCTTCATTAAGGCTCCAAAGTGAAAATGTGTAAACGTGACAAGTGTTACATACTGCAAGCAATCATACTGAAAGCACAAGGACTGTTTTGCGTGAGCAGCAGTTTTACATGGGCTCAAGTCTGTTGTGGTTTAACCCTAGCTGTCAACTAAGCACTACAGGGCCGCTCACTCATTCCTCCCCTTCTATTCTCCTCTGGTGGGATGAGGAGGAGATCTGAAAAAAAGTAAAAGTCATGGGTTGAGATAAGGATTGTTTAATAATTGACATAAAGTGAAATATAATCATAATAATATAGTAATAATAGTGGTAATGAAAATTAAGATTACAAAAAAAAAAAAAGAGAGAGAAATAAAACCCAGGAAAAACAAGTGACGCACAGTGCAGTTGCTCACCTCCCACTGACCAATGCCCCAGCAGTGATTTGACATCACTTCCCCCGCTCCAGCCAAATCCCCCCAGCCCATGCGCTGAGCCTGACACTCCATGGTATGGAATAGCCCGTGGGCTAGTTCAGGTCGCCTGTCCTGGCCACGCTCCCTCCCAGCTTCTTGTGCACCCCCTCGCTGGCAGAGCAGGGGGAACTGAAACATCCTTAGCTTAGGGTAAGTGCTACTTAGCAGCAACCAAAACATCAGTTTATTATCAACATTATTCTCACACTAAATCCAAAACACAGCACTGCACCAGCTACTAGGAAGAAAATTAACTCTGTCCCAGACAAAACCAAGACAAAGTCTGAGGCCATAAAACTGCTTTCACTTGTAAATTTGGGCAGTTGGTGTAGTCTAGGATAAGAGAATTCAAACTGCAACAGAAATATCTGGAAATAAGAAATTTGAATATCTTTTAAATGTAAGCTGTTGACTTCAGATGACAGTTTTGCTTCTCAGGGAGTGGGTAGGTCCATGATTTTAATATGCAGTACCTGCTTTAGTTATGTTTAAGACTGTCACTATTTGGAAGTAGAATTTTCTTTTTTGGTGGGAGGTTATTTTTTGACCTTGACAAAGTTTGTCAGCTTCAAGCCAAAGAAAAGCTCCTTTAAATTCACAGTGACAAAATTTCCAGCAAAAACTATTGCACTTTCTAATGCAACAGTCATAAAAACAACTCAGCACATCTTGTTGCTAGATCAGGTCTCCAATTATCTTGACAAAGGGAATAGGAGACAATGTCTCCTTTTTCTCAGTTCAGTGGGACTTCTGAGACACAGCACTTCTGAAAATCAGACTGCTATTCAAATAATGAACAAAGAATTCCAAGGTCTTATTTTAGAGAATGAGGTCTTCTTTAGTGAAAGACAGTAACTGAAATGTATTTTTTAAATACTGAATCACATTAGCCCTAGCTGTATCTAGACACACGATACTGCCTTCCTGTTGGCTCCGCCTTAGTTTTATGACAGCAGGTCAACCTACCCAAAAAATTTTGCTGGGGCAAAATGATTGTAAAATGAAAGAATTGAGAATGGAGTCATAGTAAGCAAATAATTAACTAAAAGTAACTTTTTCAGCTTGGAGAATATTTGGAAGCAGACAAGGGGTTCTTCATGCATATTTTTTGTTCTTTATTTTAGAAGATGAAAAACTTCTTTCAGAACAAATCGTCTAGTGAAATAACTAAAAAAGCATAACATTTATTTTCACCTATTTTGACTCACCAATAGTGTTTCAACACATGAGCATTTAAAAAAAAAATTCAGGAAGGTCAGCTTTTTGTGGGTTTGTTGTTTTTGTTTTTTTTTTTTTTTTGAGGAGAATGTATTCTAAAATGTAGTTGAAGCTTTAAAAAAATTAAAAAAAAAAATAAAAAAAAGGCTTGTTCATATTTACCTAGCTTTAGAGTACCAGCAAGTTAATCAACCTTGGAAATGTGTAGGACATTACAAGAAAGTAGATCTTAGGTATAAGGAAATTTGTTACTATAGGATTTCATCTCAAACATGAGGAGATTTAAACCTTTTCCTCTTCATTAGACCTGTGCATGATGCTCTTCAAATGGATCTGCAGCTAAGTGTGCCACCAGCAAAAATCACTGCTGGAGCTGCTATGACAGACAAGCCAGCCACTTGGAAAGATTTTATTAATTTTGTACTCTTGGCTGAGTAAGAGGCATTACAAGTGTTAAAGCAGAGTACTCATTAAGACTGCAGCTGAGACATGATTAATTATCCTCTCTCTGTCACCTCTGCTTGTCTGTCACCTTTCCTTCTGACCTGTTTCTGTTCTTCTTTCCCCAGCACTCTGCGGACCAGATTCTCATTGGTGACATCAGTGATGCTGAGATCAGAAATTGGCTCCTTGCCTCCATTTTTCCCTTGCCTTCCCTCTAATTTGCCTTTCCCTGCACTCGTCTTCAAAGACTCTTCACTGCAGCTCCCAGTGCTTTGCAGGTATCCTTGACTACAGCTCACATTCCCCAATCTCCGGCCAGCTGGAGCAGCTCCCTGGTATGATATAATTCAGATCAAAGGCAGGTGGCCAATCAGCAAACGAGTAACTTAGTGGCTGAGTCACTTCTGTTGTGTGCCAACATTTGGTCCCCTCTTTTCAGTCTTAACTTCAGCCAAAAAGTAGTTGTGGGTGGTGGATCTTGAAGACAGTGGATTGCTAGTCATGGTGAGCTGTACCCATTAAAACCAAAAAATGGCTCTTCTGGAACTGGACATAGTCACAGACTTACCCGAACAGCAATCCAGCTGCAAGGCAAAACAAGGAGAGTCTGATACTGCAGCAGATTTGTAACACACTTTATGGAGATGGCACCAAAATAACTTTATAATGCAAAAATGTATGATCACATGGATAGCAGAATTTCTACGGGATTGGAAAGAAAATTGCAGAGTACCTTAACAAACCTTTAAATATGTTAACTGCATAATGCTGTAACAGTAACACGAAGTTTGTACTCCATTTATATATAACCCATCTGGAGTAGGTTCTAGACACAAAGCCGCTATGTGCATAGTGATCTGAACATGTTTACAAAGCCTTGCTTGTATTTGAAATCAAAGTACATCCTCCTACAAACATTTCCGCCCAATTAAGTTACTCAGCAAGTTGTTACAAGGATAAGTCACTATTTATTTTTACTATCTATTCTTAGAAGTCTTGTTTTTTGAACAGTTTTTACTAAATGGAAACCAAATTTAAAACCACAAGTTTTTAAACCTACCTGTCATAATTCTTGTTGACAATGGTTGTTTCACAGAATGCCTTCAAAATATCCCTTTTCTTCCCATCAAGTAATTAATGCCATTTATTGACCTGCAACAGGAAATTCACCATGTCAGCAAAGATTCAACATTTCTACCAGTTAGATCACTGGGTAAAGAGTTGATTTCTGTGTGTTGTCCATATGTCTGCCACTAGTTTATTCTTTCTTTCTTTCAGGGAAACTGCTTGGTGCATTTGTGCTTCCAAAGTAGGGATTGACTATCTCACAAGAATTTGGGTGTTTGGCCAAATTACATTTGCAACCCAAGTATATTATTCTCTACAGTATACTTGCAGACATAAGGAAACACTGGGGGAGAAAATTCATCACCATGGCATGCTGAGCCAGAAATTTTAACATCATGTGTCAACATGGCTCCATATGCCAGGAGTACATAATAAGAAGGCCAATGTTAGGGATCTGACTAGGAGTGTTGGTACAGTTTACTAACTCAGTTTAGCATCCAATGCAAATTAGTGTTGCTTTCTTTAACCCAAGGTACAAAATAAATCAAAGTAGTATTTCTCAGGAAGAGAAAAACATGGTAGCTGTGTGCAGTATAGTTCTAGAACGCTTTGGCAGCAATTCGCTTGCTGTCATTTAAGTTAAAAATGAAAGAATTTCCAAAAAGGGGCAAACCCAGATCCCACACATATACTTTCAAAAACAACGTAGGAAAGATTCCACCCATGACATTTCAAGTCCCATCTGCACTAACATCTTTGCCAATTCTTGAAATTGGTGCTTTGTTTTTCCAGAGTGTCTCTGTCAAAGACCAGTCATTAGACACAAAACCCAATATTCCTTCAGACCTCCATTCCTGACTGTTTAATCTGTGGGTTGTACTTGTCCCTTGCCGGGCTTGTGATAGCTATCACAGTCCTTTTCACAACAAATTTTCTACTCATCAGTGCTTGCTAATAGCCAGAATGTTTCTTGAGTACAATTACCCAACAATGTAAATGAAACAATTCACTTACATGCTGAATAACACTGCCTGGAAAATGGCACTTCTCATAGTGACTGAAATTTGAGTTCTTCAAAGGCTGACTTCCTTACTCCTCAGTTCAGCAGTAACCTCTCCACAAGGGCACCAGCGTTAAGGTACTTGTTCCCTAAACTAGTTACCATTGTTCAAACTGTAACAGAAAATAACAAAGCATACATAAGCCAAGGTAGAATGTTAAGAGGGTTACTTATTCACAATCTTTACACAGTCTAGTTTATCCCTGAGAACACCCACTAACCCACCACAGTCATAACTGCTTCCGTATGAAGTTGCTTACACATGATGTTCCAAAACCACCTATCAGATAAAACAATGCATAGAAATTAATTTAGAAGGTATACACCAGCTACCAGCAAAAGCTGTAGCAGCCTTGAAGAGGCAAAAGAACTGGCTTAGTCAAATGTACTTCCCACTAGCTGCCAGGACCCTCCATTTCATATTCCTTGGCCCAAATTTCTTCCTATTGATCAGTTTTAGCTCTGCTTGTTTCTCATTCCCCATTATGGCCTCTCTCTCATTCTTATCTCCTCTTGTGCTTCCTCTGATCCTCAGTGTCTTTCCTCTGCTCCTCCCTCAAATAGAAAAAAGTCCATTTTCCTTCCAAACAGACCAACTAGAAACACAGAAGTAAGCTAAGAGATTTCATGTACATCTATATATTTGAAGGCAGATTTACCAGAAAAAGGAAAAGAGAACACAGGAATTAGGTACAGGAAAGAGAATGGGTATTTAGAAGGAGTAACATTCTCTATTGGGATCCTTCATTCTTGAGAATGGCCAAAATCTTTCTTGTCTGGTGAGTATCAGGACAGGGAGATGTGAACAGATATATTCTGTATATAATATAGACAGATATATTAGCAATGCTGATAATGAAGTGTCACCTCTAGATTTGGCAGAGTAACTCAGTACCATACCCTGTGAATGCTATGGGTGCTGACTACAGAGCAGTGACCATGCACTGTCTCCAGTGTATTTAGGTTGTTCCTCAATAGTCCATGAGTTTTTCATAACAGCTTTACTGTCAAGTCGCCCATGGACTGGAATTAGATCTTGCTGCTATTGCCCTTACTCATGCATATGGTCTGATCCTTTTCTTCCAAAATTCTTCATGTGGTGATAAACATAGGTTTACAGGCTTGCTGTTTAGGCCAACTTCCCAGGCAACATGAATAGCTAGAAGTCTGTCCAACCAGCCAATTTTCAAGTGGGCAATTTCTATTTAACTTTTGGGATGGTTTCAGAATCTAATATGCTGCTGGTACATCTAGGGCTAACCTTCCAGTTTGGATCTGTCTTGTGCAAGAATTTGCAGCGCACCTTTGCTCTCAGGGGCTGTTTGGGAAAGTCCTTGGTGTAGTGTCTTCAGAAGCAGCCATGGTTATGCATTCTCTATATTACTCTGAATTTAGCTCTTTCCTAGATTCTAAAATGCAGCCTGTTCGGAGTCTTGCGAGTAAAAAGGACTAGCTTTGGCCCAGGCAAAGCAGGCAGCAACTTAGAATAGCAGACTATCTGCTTTGTCTGGGCTAAGACAGCAATAATCAGTTGCTTCAGCAGCCTATACAACCTGCAGAATCAGATTTACTTCCTACTTGCATAACTTTGGCTTCTGAGGAAAAAGCTGAGGGATGCATGGCAACAGCAGAAACAAACATAAGCAACAAAAGTAGCAAGTTGTTTTCTTCTCATGGCTGTCCCACACAATGACAGTAGTAGCAGGCTTAGTCCCTTCTCAGCGGCTTAACAGGCAGGACAGTAGCTGGTTATGGTGGGAGATATGGGGGAAGAAATGCTGAAAAAGGGAAGAGGGGCGTACCTCTAATCATTAACTCAAATCAGTTTTTCCTGTTGCTAGAACCTCTATCACTCCTCCTCAAACAAGGGAAAGGTATGGTCATAAACCCCAATTTATTAACAACAATGTACCACTCTTTTCCAAGAGCAAACAAAATAGCTCCGTTTGTTTACTGTGGTGCAGGATAATGAATATTTTGCAAGATTGCTAGAGATTTCCATGTATTTCATACCTGTTTCAGGCCTTACACGACTTCATCTCCAATTACACTGTTGCTAGCTTGTTTTATTTTGTTATTACATGCCTCACAAATAGGTCTGTATTAGCATATTTTTTTTTTTTGTAAGGGATTATATTTGTTTCCTTGTTCTTGGGGCTCTTACACAACAGTCTGGTACTGGTTTCTAGTTATCTTTTAAATGTGACCTTATCTGGTTACTGTGGGGATGGTTGTCTTATTACTCTTCTATCTCAGACCGCTTGCATCTACCCACTCACAATTTTTTTTTTTCCCTTGCTAATTATTCTTAATGCATCCCGTCTTAGCGGAGGTTCAGAAGTTCACCAGCGAAATGCAGGTTCTCTGTGCTTTTTGAAAGGCTTCTGGGCAAGTTTAATACAATCATGCATCTGCGCTGCTTACCAGTCTGTATACTACATGTAGTAACATACAGCATTAAATGCTGCTAACACACAGGAACCAAAACTTCAGCATACACCTACACCCAGGTGTAACTTTTCATAAAAATCGTAGTGGCTTCTGCAAGCACCCAGACTGCAAGCTTCCTCTACTTGAGGATTTGTTCACAGCACTGAGACCAGTGAGAAGGGGTAAATGGCAGTCAGGGGCAAAAGGTGCACAGCCATAGTGCTTAATCTTATCACGAGAACGTGTCAGAGTAGATGGAGGGGCAATGCTGAGGCAGGGGATTGTACCCCTGACATCCATAGAAAAATCCATTTGTCCTGATAAACAGGGAGTAAACACAAAACGCCAATAAATAATACAGAAACCCATTAACAAAATTATGGGCATTATTGCCAAAATAATGACATATCTACCCAGTTTCATCCTCCAACACATTAATATTAGGCTTTTTGTAACTAAGGGGTGTAAGTCTGCCTAGCTCATCAGTTTCCCTGATGTGGAACCATTCTGCTGTTGAAAGCTTCTAACCAGAGATGAGCCAGTTAAATGTAACCCTTTATATTCACTGAAATTATCAAGTGTAGTTGAGTTAAATCCCTGCTAGACAACCACCCCTCCAATAAAACCCCAGTCACCTGATGGTCTTATTTACATTGATAATTTAATCTTTTATCCTGAACAAATTAATTCTGAGGTTTTACACTTACTTTCTTTCTCCCAGATACTAGTATGTTAAGATTCTGTGGCACCTATCTCCTCAGTATCTTACAGTAATACTTTCCAAGTACTTCCAGGTCATTTAAGACTCTTTGTGACCCCCAATAACTACCTCAGATAACAAATTAAAATCTACTTTTTTCCCAGATTTCTCTGCCCTGCCCCAGTGAGTGACCTGACATCTAAGGTTCTTTGCTTTATTTTGTTATTGCTCTTAGCAGATCATTCTACACGTTTTATAGAGGAAAAGTCATTGCTAAACTGATTTTAAAGAGAAGTCCTAGGTATTTTTAGAAAGTGGAAATTGTCAGGAATAAGGAGGGTTGATTGACTGCATGTGTTTTATACCAGCTAGAGGAAGTGAGAGACAGAAAATAATTTATGGTTTTTGACAGAAGCATTTGAAAACCATTGATATCAGCCTGTTGCACAGAATTTAACTCCACTGAGTATCTTCTTATCAGAAATGGGTTATTTTCACATTTTTCAAAACCAGTAACCAGTTCTTCTCCTTTATCCACAAAAAGCATTAAAAAAATTAAGTTTGTAACCCTATTAATAGTTTTTTCATTAAAATATAGTTCTGATTATTCTCTGTCTTAGGATAAAAAAAAAAAAAAAAAAAAAGCATGAGGCTAGATACATCTATGTTTGAGACACAGCTAGAGGCTTTCAGACTGATAAAGGCTTTTAAAAGTCCTAAAAATCAAACAAGTGGACCAGAATATAATGTTTTGAATTTGATAATGGTCTCTCACATGTATTACATTCCACCGGAGCATTAAAGAGTGGTTGGAAAGAGACATAGCACTCTGACTCATAAGCATTGCTGCAAACTGTTGCAGCAGTTAAAGACATTACTAACACACAGACTGTTCTGCCTTTCTCCAGCCAGGACAATGGAGTGCCCCAGCCACCATGATGTAGTCTCTTCAGCAGGCTTTATTTTCAGTTCAACAAAAGATCAGGGTGACTTTGAAATGGGTTGTAACAGAATCTCTTTTCTACTTTGGGTCAGGCACCACTACCCTTTACTGTTCTCTTAGAGGAATAATTTTGCTGTTGAAGCTTACATGTTTACTAATTTTCTTTTTTTATGCCTTCAGCATATACATCCAGTTCCATCCTATGCCTTCACAACTGGAAAGCTATTTAACTCCAAGGAAGTCAGATCCCCAACTGATCCTCAGAACAAGCTGCTCTTCCACATTTTTGCAAGAGCCTTGCATCCTGTTCCACATACCCAGACATCCACAAAGCCCCGTGGCAAAAATCACCCTTTATGGTTTTGGCTCAGAAGCAGTGCCTCATCCACACCTCAGCTATCACAGGTTACACTGGAACAGCACAGTCAAGCCTCTGCCAGTAGTTTAGCTCCATAAACATTTAACAACCTAGTAGGCCAATTCCAGGAACATGCTTTTTTCTCCTGGCCCAGCATCAAGGGTTGGTATTGTGGCTGATGGGAGAAGGAGAGTAAGCCTACCCATGCGGTAGTGTCCTATTAAAATATATGAATCTGCTAGAACTTGTGTCAGAGTTGTCATGAGAGGAGCACTATCTGAGCCTTGTGGAACCTAGAAGAGGTTAGTAATTTCTCATAGGAGGTCTCTAGCAAAGCTGGGGAGAATTGTCTTCATTGCCGAGTCTCAGTTTCATCTACTGCCAGTTTTTTCTGCATTTATACCCAAGTTTCTGAAATTATAAACATTAGATTTTCTAAGGTATGAAGACAGTATGTAGCTACAGCTGTTTTCAGAAACTTCTTTGTCCAGGGCTAACTGCCCTTAGCTATCTTACCTACCTAAATTAACATTTGTTGCACAAGACAAACGGGACAGTTAAATGTCATTATCACTGTCCCACCCTGAAGCTTTCAAGCACATCATCACAACATACACAAGTACATGACTCAGGCAGATTAAAACAAAACTTCTTAAGTGTTTTTAAGTTTAACATATACAGGTCACTGAACAAGATGATAAAGGGTGAACAGGCTCTAATTCTTAGACAGACAGCAGGCAAAGTCAGTGCAACAGTGAACACAAAACCCATGCAAGCAAAGGTAGCAGAATTTGTGTGATACAGTAGGAAATGTGTATGAAGGCTGAACTCATTAGGGTTTCTGAGAGCAGCACACAGATCTTAACATAGAAATATCCCTGGCTTCACTAGAGTATGTGAATTTAAAATTAAACTGAACTATCATTCCTTGTAGGAATTCCTGTTTATGGATGGATGTCCTTTTCTGGATTCAGCTGTTTTGCTGGATTAAATCTTACCCTCACCCATCACTACATTGCTTGTGAAGAATGAAGTTCTCTAATATGTTGAAAACAGCCTGCAGCAGCATTCCTTTGTTAAAATCTGATGGGTTGGCTCACATAATTTACCTTAACAGTAAAAATTAACTTGATTTATCAGAATTTATTATATTAGGGGTCATATGAAACACTGTGTTGGCAGATCACTGAAAGCAGTGGCAGACAGCTGATGACTACTTCTTCCATTGGCATAGCTGAATCTAGGGGTGTCCTGTACACTGTCCCACAGTGAATGACTTATTTTGGCTTCAAGATCAATTGACTAAAGTTAAAATTGACTAAAGTTAAACAGAAGCTATTCTTATACCCTAACTAGGGTGTGAACACTAAATTAGGAAAAGTCTGCATATTGACAAGGCCAATATATTCTAGCTGAAATCAAAACTCCACACCTTAAATCACATACCTTCCTCATCAAGAAGCCATAGTTCATGTTCCTCACTAAATTAGATGCATGAACAAATATAAAGTATAAATATAAAATAAAAATATCTCCAGAGTCCTAAGAGCTCTTAAGTGAGCATGAACAGAACAACCTTAAGGCTATATAATCCCATTATTCTACAAACTGAATGACAGCAGAGATGGCCCCAGTTTATCCAGGTGTTTGATAGCCTCTGGAGAAACATATACATCCCAGGTCTGCTATTTGCCTTTGGCCTTTCTGATCAAATTGTATAACTGAGTAGATAGCTGTCACTCACCTGGGAAAATTGTGTTATAGTACACATGAAAAAACTGCCCTTGCGTGCTGAAAATACATTTAACAAAATACTGAAACAATTCTCTCTTAATTGACTATTCCCCTCCTGTCATGGTTTGACCCTGGTCAGCAGCCAACCACTACACAGCCACTCTCTCTCCCTTCTCTTCCGGCAATAAGAAGGGACAGAGAACCAGGCTTGGGGTTCGAGATAGGACTGGGATGGGGAAAAAAAAAAATCACCCTTTACGGTCATGAGCAAAAGGCAGACTTGTTAGGAGAAGTGAAAAAAGAACACCTTCCCCCCACCTCTCCCTTCTTGCCTGGCTCAGCTCTGCTCCCGATATCTCTACCTCCTCCCCCAGAGGCACAGGGGCAGGGAATAAGGGGTGCAGTCAATGCTGCCACCTCGTCCATCTTCGGTGGGGGGAGCTTCTGGAACTTGTTCCCCCCCTCCAGCATGGTCCCCCTCTCACAGGAGACAGTCCTCCACAAACTTTCTCCAACATGAATTCCTCCCACGGGCCGCAGCATTCCCCACACTGCTCCGTCGTGGGTCACCAACTTTCTCCGACTGGATTCCCTCCCACGGCTGCAGCCCTTCCCGAGCTGCTCCGGCGTGGGACTCCCCCGCATGCTGCAATCCTCTCAGCACTGAATTACAGCAGCGGGGCTACCTTTTCCCATGAGACCCCGGCCTTCTTCAGGCACAGCACCTTGATCAGTGTTGTTTGAGCCTGGTCAGCAGCTAAACACCACACAGTCACTCACCCACCCACCCCCACTTGGGAACGGGGAGGCAATCAGAGGGGCAAAGGGACACTTGCGGGTGGAGATAAAAACAGTTTAGTAACAGTAACAGAATACTACGCTGACAGCGGTATCAACAGGTAACATACAATGCAGTTGCTCAGCACCCACCAACTGACACCCGCCTGCTCCCAGCCAGCAATCCCAAACACCAAGGCCCCGCAGCCACACTCCCAGAAGTGGCAGCCCCTCCCGGCCCAATCCTGCCTTTATATAGTGAGCACAATGTCACGTGACATGGAATATTGGCCAATCGGGGCCCAGCCCTCCAGCTGTGCTCCCCCCACCCTTGCACACAGGCGAGGGCACTGGGACCTCAAGAGCCTCTGGAATCTCAGTGTGCTGCAGCACTCCTCCAGCTACCAAAATGAACATGAACTTTATTCCAGCCTGAACCAGGACAATCGGCCATATGAAATGAGACACAGGCCATAAATCAGTGTCTGCTCCACCGTAGATCTTCATGGGTGTCGGGAGGGGGCCGCCCTGCCGTCTCACCACAGGGTACAGGGGGGTCTCTGCTCCGGCACACCTCCCCCCTCCTTTCTTCCTCCGTTCCTCCACTGACCTTGGTGTTCACGCAGCTGCAGCAACTCCTCCTCACAAGTCCCACTGCTCATCACCACATCCCTTCTTAAATACGTTATCGCAGAGGCGCAGCTGATTGGCTCAGTTTTCGAGCAGAGGTGGAGCTGACTTGGAGCTGGGGGAGCTTTGAGAAGCTTCTAAAAGGAGTATACCCCTATAGCACCATCCTCTGCTACCAAAAAACCCACCACTCACTCAAGCCAAGACACCTCTCCATATTACTGGTTTGTTTTCTCTTATCATCATACCCACTGGGTTGATTTTTCATAAAATACATTTTTGAGATACAAAGGCTAATATGAAGTTCTTGGACTTGTCCCAAAAGTTCCACCTTTAGGTAGGACAGAATGTCAACTTATTCTGCTACTTGACACAAAATAGAATTTTGTTTGGTTGGCTTTGAACGTACTGGTAAGTTTCATAATTTTATTTGATAGTTGCTACTGTTAGGTAAAAAAAAAAAAAGAAGTCAGGATTGAGAAATTGCAAATATAATCTATTGCTCAGGAAAAAAAAAAAAAGGAATTACTGATATAGCCCATGCTTTACTAGTCGACTCTCAAGTTTATAGTCCCAAACCTGAGCACACATAAAACAAGAGACAGTGTCCCAGAATAATACCATGAAAACAGAAATAAAAAAAAAATCTCTATTTTTTCTCTTCAGTGACTAAGAGTCAGAGTTACGTTTTGGTCTGTGGTATTTTATTTTTCTTCTTTGTTATCAGGACTAAGATAGCCCATCTTTCATGCTAGGAAATAAAGTATGAGAGAAAATGCGTATTTAGCAAGGATGCAATTCATGTTAGCAGCAGTTAGAAAATTTAGGCCAAACTCAGTCTTATTTAGCTCCCATTGTCTTAAACACACTTATACCTGGGGGAAACCAAGTCTATATTTCAAGAAGCAGAGACAGTACTCCTAAATGGTTCTCAGATTTGATATGAATGGTGAGCAGTAGCTTATTTAAATTAATATTTATTAGGTAGTATAATTCTACCTTTTGGTCACTATGCAAAACACTGGCATAAACAGCATTGATGAAGGAACAAATATACTGGAAGAAAGTGTAATGCAAATGAAAAAAAAAGTAGGTAACTATAAAAAGGAAGAAGCTGCGAAATGAAAAGTTAAATACCTGTGAATAAAAAGACGAACACAACTCTCAAAATTTTGATTAGAGGAAAAAAAGTGCACAGAGGAAGAAAGAACAAGCTATGGCAAATTCCACTAACCTGAGGATCCAGGTTTTTGTGATTGTGTCTTTGCAACTACCATGCTTGATATACAGAACAGTCACCAGATTTCCCCGTTACGTAACAGTGACTTATCCAGAATTCAATTGCAAGTCACGTTTTCCAAAGGCCCCAGCACTCACTGCCTAAATAGATTTTCTTTCTAACCCAACCTCCTACTGCAAACTAGAACTGATCCTGTAATATACACCAACCTTTGAGTAGTAGTCTGGCTTGAGTTGAGTGTTATCAGAAGAAAACAACATGGTCCTCTATACTTGTTTTTCACTTTGCCTAAAATTAATCACCATAGACTTCATAATCATGCAACAAAGAGTTTATTTTTCCCACTCTAGTACTTTCTGTCATGGTTTAAACCCAGCTGGTAGCCAAACAGCATGCAGCCACTCACTCAACCTCCCCTACCCCAGGGGATGGGGGAAAGAATCGGAGGGGTAAAGAGACTTGTAGTTTGAGATAAAAACAGTTTAATAGTTGAAACAAATCAGCAATAATAGAAAGTGCAAATGGGTAATGCACAATGCGATTGTTCACCACCCACTAACCAATACCCAGCCCATTCCTGGCTAGCCATTCTGGAAAAAACAAGATCCCGAAATCACTGTTCTAGAAGTGAGAGAGAACCCCTTCCTTCCTGGCTGACCCTCCCCTTTATGCTGAGCATGATGTTACATGATATGGAATATTTCACTGGCCAATTTGGGTCCATTGCTCTGGCCGTGTTCCCTCCCAGTGTCTTGTATACCTATGCATGTGCAGGACATGGAGAGTTGGAAAGTCCTTGATCTCTTAGCAACAACTGAAAAAAAAAAAAAAAAAAAAAAAAAAAAATCAGTGTATCTGAATCCAAAGCACAGCACTACTCTAACTACTAAGAAGAAAAATTAACTCTATCCCAGCCCAAACTAGGATAATTCACAATCTTTGCTGCTTATAAGATCAAAATTCAACAGAGGTAGTTTTCCTTATGTATTTCCCTACTGCCCTGCAATTGGCACAATTCTAGTATAGGGACACACTAGCATAAGCAAACCACCAGATATTTTACTTATGTTCCTTGGACTCAGGGACTGTTTAGAGATGGGTAAACTCACATTTGCAATAGGAGCACTATTAACCACAAGAACAGCAAAAGGGACTCTCCAAGGGCTATTGGCACCGATTCAGAATTCTGGGTTTGTCCCACTGAGCAAAAGTAGCTTGACCACTTCCAGCAGGCAGTTAAACAGGTCAGAAATAGCCAACACTATCTTACCAGGAACACACACAAAGACAACTGACTGCCAGATCCAGAACAAGTTAGTACCCAGGAATGAATGCTTAATAACTGAGAACACCTCAGAGTCTCAGAGAAATCCATTACTGGGCATGGTTCTGCTCAATACTCTTTTTAATTGCTTCAGTGATGAGTTTGTTTATAAAATCTACATCTGACACAAAGCTACTGGCATTCAGTAAGCACCTTTTTAGAGAGTATTAGAACTTAAAAGGATCTTGAGAAACTACAGGCAAGCTCAGAAAGCATTAAGATAAAATTCAGTAAAATCAAGTAGTGTACAGTGATACTCTTACAAAAAAAAAAAAAAAAAAAAAAAAAAAAGAAACCTTCCAGGGTTTCTTATCTCAGTGATTTACTTCATCATCACAGGGTTTGTCTTCACTACTTAATAAAAAACAAAAGAAAACACACATCTGCTTTTGCTAGTTACCCAAGCCACATGAACTATCTTCATGTAAAAGACAAGACACTTCCACCTTACTGCAGCAAACTAACAGAGGCAGTCTTATTTCCCCTTCTGATGATGATCTCAATGCACATGCCTCCCTAAAGCTGAAGCATCTTGCCTTCACCCCATTTTCACCTTTGAAGGCTTTGCTTAAAGTTCAAACAAGTATGCTTTTTCTCTTCGCATTTCGGGACAAACACATTCCACCAAGGCAGCAGACATAAGCAAAAACGTTAGGTATTTCTGTAAGGCAAATCTTAAGTTTGCTCACTTGTGACTTCCTTGGACATGTAGAAAAATATTTTTGTTCTATTATTTATATAGAAACCTGAGCATGAAGCCATCTTCGTGGAATGTTCTACTTTAAACACAGTCTCACTGGCCACCTAACCTAAGCACCTGGATTTTGCTAGAAACTGGCTGAGGCACTAAAAAAACAACTCATTTCTGCTGCAGTGGGTGCAACCTCTGGCAGAGAGTTGGTACCGAACAGAGAAATACCACCACAAGTAGTTACAGCGGGTATTTCAAGGTGGTAATAGTGAGGTTGCTGTAAACATCTCCAACTCCCTGATGGTAATGACCTTCCCTGCAAGAGTTTCACTGATGTATCAGTTTCTAAACAGTTTTAATTATATTGGTATCATATCTCACATAAACAGGCTTCAGTTCCACACCACCACAACTAGCTAGTCAAAACGGTACCTCTTCTCACCATGGAACTTTATCTACTTTGAAAATTTTATGTTTAATTTTATTGTTGTTGACAGAATCCAAAGCATTAATTCAGTTAAGGGCCCTCATAATTTCTTCCTTTTGCTAAGCTAGACAAATCAACTAGAAGAAAATAAATCCATCCTTTATCATGTGATTATTCACCATGTTTGCATATTCACTACACATGAAGATTCAGCCAACCAGGTCTCCTACAGTGAGCTCTTTCTGATCCTAACAATTTCAGTAAAGATTTTCACGTTGGTTGAACATGCCTGCCTTGACAAAAAACATGTTTTCCAGCTCCACAATACAGGTTACAAAGAGATTAAATGATACTTCATCAAAATACAAAAAGCCTTCATACTGACATCAGCAACATGCCCATTCAGCTGGAGTTTTTGTTGCCCCAAAATGCAGTTGGATGCTGCAGCCTTCCCAAAATAGACATAATCATTAACTAAACATGGGTACATTCACTCCAAAGTCAAGTAAACATTTTTTCTTTTGCCTGAAGGATGAATTTTATATTCATTTTTTTCTTCTCTGTATGATTTCTACCAAAAAGAATGGCTTGACCTGGTTTAGGATGGTTTGAGTGCTGCTGAGTCCAACAAGCAGCTGAGCTATCTTGCAAAGAAGCTTCCCCCTCCATTATTTAAGGCTCATTTTCTCTTCGGGAGAGAGAAATGGCAAAGGGCCCTGTGATTTTATCTGGGGAATGGAGGAGGAAAAAAAAACCCAAAAGACTGTCTAATGAGAGCTACAGAAGGGTATGAAATAAAAATAAAATAAAAAAAGGAATAATCCCTTTACCCCTTTCATTTTCATTACTGTAATTTTTCGAGAATGTTAACTACTTTCTTTTATCTCTAAGACATCTGGTTGCAACTCATAGTTTAAGACAAAGCTAAAACCAAAATTATAAATTACTCATGGATCAAAAGCTTTATATAATGATATTGGCTATTTTGTATATACAGACTTGAATGTTTCCATTTCTTTGATTTTGTTCCCAAGTAAATAGTTTTTACAGACAACGGTGAAGTGAAAATATAGCCTTTTTATTTATTTATTTATTCTTTTGATACTTAGTGCTGTCCAGTTAGAGGCAATTCTTACAGGCTTACCTTTCAGCATTTTGGTAGTCACTTTACATAAGCAAATGATTAAGTAATAACACCTTGAAAAACTACAAAACCAGTAGCAATTAGCACTGTATAGCTAGCATTGTAACTTGGTGATTACTGCTCCTGTTCAACCAAAAAAGCCCCAAGCTAAACACCATGTAAACAATAGCTGTCACTTAATGACCACAAGGTGCATTTAGTGCTCCCAGCATTGCTTCAGGTCCTTAACTACTGCACCTGACCACAGCAGAGGAACTCCTAAATACTGTCACCTGAGCACCTGTAGTAGCTACTGATTTTAATACTGAAGTACCTCTCAACATTTTTACTCCGTTGCACAAATTGAAGCGCACAGCAAGAGAATTATACTGACTTCAGAATGGCAAATACCTCCCACATGACAAGATGAAAAAAAGATAATTACATATAACGCCACGTATGGTAGTTTGGCTTTTTTTTTTTTTCAAGTTGATTCTACAACTGGTGGGCCCATTACTTTAATGAAGTACTCAGTCGTTCGTTACATAAACAGGTATAGCTTCTGTAAACGTGTGAGCTCTGCAGCACTTGGCTCAAACGATCAAAAGAACAAACCAAACCAAAACCAAAAACCAAACCAGCACCAGCACGCGGAGTGGAAAAGCGCACTTCCAAACCAACTGCTAAAAAGCTAAGAGGGCGTAAGCAGGACGGAACAAACATAATTGCGCTGTTTACCCTCCCCATCCTTCAGAAACAAGAGATCCACCCCTGCTCCTCGCACCGCCTTATAACCGGCGACTTCCACAGCCGCCTCCAGACCTGCGGCAGGCAACAGCCAAGTCTTCCGAGGTGGCAAATCGCCGCCGCGGGGGCCGGGAGCCCACCTGGCCGGCGGGCCGGGCCGGCTGGGGCGCTCTGGGCACCCCCCCCCTCGCCCGCGACGGCCCCCTCTGCCATCGGAGACCGCGACGGGGTGTAAATTACGGGACGAATGACAAGCGCCCTTCCGTACCGTTTTGCTCCCCCCCGCCTTACTGCCTCTCGTTTTTTGTTTTTGTTTTTTGTCCTTTCTTTTAAAGGCGGCAGGGCAGCCGCCCGCCCCCGCCAACCCCGGGTACGGGAGAGCCCCGCGGCCGTCAGGCCGGCCCCTCCCCGCCCCCCCGGGGCCCTGACAGGCTGGGGCAGGGGCACGGCGGACTTCCAGCACCTTCTTCACCTCTCCCCAAACTCCCGCGGCGCCCCCCCCCCCCCCCCCTGCACACGTGGGCGGCGAAGGGGCGCGGAGCGACCGCGAGCGGCAGCGCAGCCGACCCCGCCGTCGCACGGCACACACACACACACACACACACACACACACACACACACGCACGAGTAGGGGCCCCGCCGCGCGCTCCCACGCTCTCACACACAGCACGCCCCACCCGCCACGCTCCCGCACCCCTCCCTCTCCCCAACCCCTCGGCTGAGCGACGGCTAGGCGGCGCCAATAGGGCC